GCGACTAAGCACCGTATACTACCCGTAGACGGATAGAGGTCCTAAACGTATTAATCAGGAAGTTTAAGCCTACTTACGGGTATATACCTATTACGCCTAAGACGATTAGGATATACTATTACCGGTAGCGTAATTAGCCTTAAATAACCGGGTAAACTTAACGATCTAAATAAGCCCGTTCTTCCTATAGCACGGGTACTACGTAAATCCTCTCTAAGTTAATACGACTACACCGACCGATAAGCGTAAGGCTTCCGCGCAGGACTTATTAAGTCGCCTTAAGGAAGCCACCTAGTTTATATAAGCCGCGATAGTCGCTATATAACTACGCTAAGAGGAGTCGGTAAACCGTTGGCGCTACCCTACTAAGAGGTTTAAAAAGGATAACCTTATATAGCTAGATATCGGTAACTACTCCTTACTACGGCCGTTAAAAAAACTTATCTGGCTTTACTATAAATATAAAGTTATAAAGGTTATTAACCCCTATGTCGTAGAACTAAATATTCTCTTATAGATCTATAACCGTTTCCACGTGGATCTTTTACGGCGAGCCGACTATACTCCCTTATTAGGGTAAGCGATAATAGACCCCTAGCCGCCATTAATCCGCGAAGGGCTAGATAGGGAGGAGGAATAAGTGGTAAAGGAAGTCCTCTACGCCTATACCCAAAGGCGAGGTCGCGGTAAGGTCTGCGAAGTATTAGTACGATAAGAGGGCTACGTAGAACTAATATAGGAACCGCTTAAGAGCCTACGGGATATATAAGTACTCGACGAATTCGAGAAAACACACGGCCCGGTATAGTTAAACGATAGACCTTTATAATAATATATAAAGGAGATATGGACGCGAAAGAAGGCCGACGCGGCGGCGAGGAGAATAAGGACTAAGAGCGAGATTATATTAGGGTCGTACCCCCGCGCTACTTAACTTAAGAGTGGAAAAGAACTAAGTAAACCCCTAAAAACGATATAAATAACCTACTCCTCTATAACTCCCCCCTCTTTTAGCTCCTCCTTTTACGAGGCTATACCATTCTTAGCGGCACCCACCTATAACTCCTCCTAAGGAGGAGCTAAGGCGGGCGTAGCCTTAGGAGTAGCCCCCGGATTATCCTTAGTAGCGAAAGGGGTTATAGCTATATAATACTTATAAACGCGGCGGACGGAGTAGGAGAGGTTATAAACCTCTTACAATATTATAGTAATATCGTTATTCTTATTCTTTAGCTATTACGATACCTCCTTAAGCGTTTTATCTATACTGCGTATAGAGGCGGCGATATTATCGAGGGCTTATACTATACTTACCTAGAACTCGGTAATATTAGCGGCGGCGGCGGGCGGTAGGGCGATAGCGGTAGGCGGCGTGGTGGCGAGAGTAGGAGTAACGGCGGGGGCGGGAGCGGCGATAGCGGTAGGGGCGACGATAGGAGCAGAAGCATGCGAGGGACCTATAACGCTTTAGTCCGATTTAGCCTAACCGAGGGTAACTTAGAAACGACCGTATATTGCCTAGAATTAGCGGCGATTCTACGCGGACGGTTAGTACGGAAATCGCGATATAAAAGACCGATATAAACTTATATCCTTATCGTTATCGTCCTCGTTTATAGTATAAGCGATATCCTATAAGGCGTTAGCGGCGTTATAGGCGGCGGCGGGGAGCTATATCGCCTATTAGTCATAGTCACTATACACCTAATAAGGACTACCTATAAAGGAGCACTTATATATTCGGCAGGAATACTCGTAATACTTAGTATCGGCCCTGGCCACGCTAAGGCCCGACTAGTAGTAACACTTAACGCTATATTCTTATTTATACTACTTAGTAGCACACTACGCGTAGGGAGCTAAGCGGCGAGGACCGGGCGGGTTCTTAGGAGCTCTACACTTCTTAGGAGGGGGGGTTAGAGTCTACTTAGTGTTAGTTATAGCCGACCTCGTAACCGATAGTATTACGGGCAGGACTTATATCGTTATTACTACTACCCTTATAAGGGCGCTTACTAAGCGAGGCAAAGTCCGATATCTGCTAATAGTTAGCTATAGCGCTAAACTATAAGTATGGGACGGGCTAACTTATAGTAAAGAGGATATAGGCGGCCTAAAAGATAAGCTATTACTTGGCGATATTAGTTATACTATTAAGGGACCTATATGGTATCTCGGGGCTACTCACGGTATAAAAAGATCAATTAAAAAAAAAACCTAAAAAGAAGCTATAGAGGGGGAAGAAAATAGGGAAAAATAAGGAATAGTGGGAGGTTTATTTTACTACTCTTCCTACGCTATTTAGGTGGAAGGAATAACCCCCGGTTATATATTCGGCAGGTATATCGTTTATAATGAGCACGCACACCGGCGAGGAGCCCGCGATAGCACCGCTGTACGAGAGCTCCATTATACTATTTTAGCCTTAAAAGGATCTTAGCTACTACGGATTACCTCTCTTTAAAGGAGCCTTTAATAGAGCCGAATAAAGGAAGCTATTTTCAGATTCCACGCAGGGAGGCCAGAGTAATACGAGGTCACGACTATACGACCACGACACGACCGCGACCTCGCCTCCGTCCGGGGGGGGGGGATATTACGGGCTATAGCCCGTAGAATAGTCCCCGGCAGTGGCCGGGACTAAGAAGCACGGACCCCCTAGCGAACGAGGTCCGTGCGATTCCACACGTACTTAGCCGCCTACACACCGCGCAGGCTTTTCCCTTCCTCCTTTCCCTCCTTAGTTTGAATAATCCATATTTTCGGCCTCAATACGTAAATAACTTTTGACAAGCCGTTATAGCTACCTTCTTAAAAAACCTAAGGTAAAGGCCTAGCACCCCTAATAGCTCGAGGAATTAGTAATCTACGACTTTATTATCCGACACAGACCGGGTATTAATAACCATATAGATAGCCTCTCGAGGAAGCCCTAGTATATAGCAGGAAGTCTTAACCTTCGTATAGAGCGATAAAAGCCGGTTAAAGCATTTATATAAAAGTTTACGGTCAGACCCGTTTACGCGGCCCCTAAGTCCGCCCCCTATAAGGATATAATAACGTTATTACCTAGCCTTAAGGATAATATTATAAAAGCCTAATAAGAGGACCCTTTTTATAAGTCGCTACGAGAACGTAACCCGACTAACCCGTAGTTCTATAATAAATAAGGCCTAGTCTTTTTCCGCGATAGGCTCTTTATTCCGAAATACTCCGGCCTCCGGGAATATATCCTATAGGCGTTCCACGACCACCCTATAGCTAGATACTATAGAATTATAAGGACCCTCCGGCGTATTACGGATACCTTCTTTTAGAAATATATAACATAGGACGTTAAGACTTTTATCCCTATTTACCCTATTTATTAGAGGACTAAACCTAGATATTATAAACCCTACGGGTGCCTTTAGAGTCTCTCTATTCTAGGCCGTCCGTTCTAGGAAATATTAATCGACTTTATTACCGGGCTACCGCCCGTAATACACGGAGGTAGGAAAAAGGACGCTATCTTTATCGTCGTATACCGATATATAAAATTTACCCTATATATCCCGTGCAGTTCTAGTTTAAATATAGAGGACCTAGTAAACCTTATATAGTTAAGTATCTTCTCTATCTTCGGCCTACTAGATAGTATTATTTCTAATTATAGTTCTTTATTCACGAGTAAATTTTAATTCACCCTATATAGGCGTCTAGGACTTAAGAGGCGACTACTAATAGCATTTTATCCGTAGACCGATAATTAAACTAAGCAGTAATATTAGAACCTAAAGTATTATCTATAAACCTATTATACCTATTAACGGGATAACTAGGTGGATAAGCTCTTATTAGCTTAGTTCACGTATAATAACGCGTGATATTCTATAATCTAATAGTCCCCCGCTATAATATTTATAGGCTAGACCGACTAAGGACCTAACGATATTATACTCCCTAAGGCTAATAAGTTCTACGCCGTATCGGCCGATAGATATATTAAATACCTAATAGCGAATGGGAGAGCCCTTACGGAACTTATTAAGAAGGCCTAGGATATATATATACAGTACTATAATACCGATAAGCCTCCCTATAAATTTAAAAAGGGTGAGTATATCCTCCTCTCCGCTAAGAATATTATGCAGAAATGGCCTAGTAAGAAGCTCTCGGATAAGTACCTAGGACCCTATAAAATTAAGGAAGGTATAGGTAATCACGGACTCGCCTATAAATTAAAACTTCTGGTAACTATAAAAATTCATAATATCTTTCCTATTTCCCTCTTCAAGCCCTAAAGTCCTTATATAAACGGCGTTTAAGTCCTTTAGGAAGTCGAGGTAAAACCTTAGGAGTCCGATAAGTACGAAGTTAAGGATATCCTAGCTTACCGTTGTAATAGAAACCGCCGCTAATACCTAATTAAGTGGGAAGGCTACGGCTATAAGGAAAACACTTAAGAACCCACGCGTAATATCCCGCAATCGCTCCTTCGCGAGTATTACGCTAGGAGGTCCCGATACACCCCCTAGGCAGACACCTAGAGCGCCTTAGGAGTATAATCCTAACACACCAGGCTTAAGAAACATCTCACGTATCAGAACTTTAGGAATTTATATACCGAACCCGTCGACCTCCTAAATTAGGGTCTAGAAAATTAATTATTACCCTATAAGGACTTACTATTATACTA